GGCAGGGCGGGTCAAAATCTTAGCGGATTAAGGCTTGCCCCGCCCCGCCCCTCCCTACCCTATTTGCCGTCCCTATATTTGGGTTAGGGGACGTGATATGAAACCTTCTAACTCTAATTTATTTTAGCCGCATACTCAACCTAGGAAGGCAATGTGCATCATCATTGAAGCAGAGCCTGTTATCGGACTCGAGCCAATGACTTACGTACTATGCTATTAGTAGTTTATTTTTTAGATAGAATTAAAGGGCCTTTTATTTTTAATTTCTGAATTATTTACTATGTGAATTATATGGCTGCGCATTATAAATATAAGTATATAAGCACATGCACCAGATACATACTGTGGGATAGTAAACTGAATTTACGTAGCAAGTCCTTGAGACAATACAATCGATTTCAAGATCGACTTCAAAACTTTATTTTTTTCTCTTGTTACATTGATTTAAGAGTGTACTGTGGGCCGGGCCCAGCCCGGAACCGGCCCGAGACCGCGGGCCAAACGGGCCGGTCTCAAATGGTGCATGAAGCCCGTAGGGGGCCGGTCCTACCCAAATAGCCCACAAGCCCGGGACCGCTAAGCCCGGGACCGACAGGTGGATCTGGGCCGGTTCAACCGGGCCAAACGGGCCTCAATGACTATTTTTTTTAAAAAAAAAAAATTAAAAAAAAATGACCAACGGTCAGATTTTTAAAATCTAGCCGTTGGCCATCAAATTCTAACCGTTTGGGAGTTTAAAAATAGCCATTTGGCCCCCAAATTTTATTTTAACCCCAAATTTTATATAATTACACTTTTTCCCAATTCTCAACTATAAATATCCCCCCCCCCCCCCCCCCCATTCTTTCATTTTTACTCACAAGTTCATCAATCTCTCTCAATCTATATCTAATTTTCTTCTATAATTGCTTACTTTATTATTGCAATTTCGTGAAAAATTGTGAAGTTGGTGAATTGAAGTATTCAAGTCTTCAAGTCTTCAACGATTTTTAATTTTCAAGAAGTTGTTCGTCAATTCAGTAAACTCGTTCCAACTCTTAAGTTTTAAGAATATAGTTTTGTTTGTTTTAGTTTGTATAATTATAATTAATATGGCCTTTTCTTTGAAAAAAATGTTTGGTGGTAAGAGAAAATCTAAAATTGGTGAATCTAGTCGCCAAGCTACTACCCTTCCCCGGCTCCCCGATCCAGATTTGTTACCCGTCCTCCTCCACCTATTATTCTTGATAGTCATAACCCTTGTTTTCAATTTTTTGATAGTGAATTTTGCCATGATGTTGCACCAGGTCAACAATTAAATGAAGAAGTTATGAATGCTCTTTATCCTAATGAAACTATCTTTGAAAATGATGAGGAAAATGATGATGTAGATGAAATCCAACCGGATATAGATGATACACCTACTAGTCCTGCTAATAACCTAACTGATGCCCCACCCGACCCACCTGTAGAAACCCCTACTTTTAATAGATAACCTTCTAAACGCCCCGCAACATCACTTGTTTGGAACTTTTTTACTCAATTAAGAGAACAAAATAAGGCTAAGTGTAAAACTTGTGGGGATTGCTGGCGCATAAATTTACTGGAGACCGTAGTTGTACGGGTAGTTTGACTAGACACATAGAGACACACCCTAGAGATAAAGCTAGATTTTTACAACTGAAAGCGCAGCTAGAGGGGACAAGTGTAGATACTACGGTTAACCCTAGTACAGGTTCAAATCTAGTTCAACCAGGAATTAACACTGTGACTGGTGGCACTTCATATTACGATCCAAATAAAGATCGTGAAGAATTAGCAAAAATGATTACTGTTATGTGCTTACCCTATAGTTTTCCTTCTTACCCTCACTTTGTGCATTATATTAGAAGAGTTTTTAATCCTACTTATAAAGGTTGGCCTCGCGCAACCGTAAAGAGCGATATTTATAAATATAAACATGAATATTAACAATATTTGTGGTATTTATTTACTCATATAGATTGTCGGATTGCTATTACCACTGATATTGGTAGAAGTGGTAATGACTGTGATTATCTTACTGTAACTACTCATTGGATTGATGAAGAATGGAAAATGCAAAAACGCATTATTGCTTATAGAATAATTAATTCACGTCACACAGGTAAGTTTATTGCTAACACAGTTGCAGATATTTGTAGATATTTTTGCATTAGAGATAAAATAATATCAATTTCTATGGATTTGGAGGTTGCTGCCATGTTAAATCCTACCATGAAATTAGGAGGTCCTCACTTTTGGCATTCAAATATTTATAAGGCTTTAGATCTTTCAGATGAGGAATTTGCTACACTTGCAGATGCAAAAGCCTCAATTAAAATAAATGCTCAAACAATTTATAATGCTTATCAACTTGCCTTAGATCATGCTAGACCAAATGTTCCAACTCCTACTTTGTCTAGTTCACAATCATCTAAAAGAACTGCGGGCCTAAAAGCACTTAGTTCTTGGACGGAGTTCAGGGGTTCTCAAGGTGATAATATTGATGATACTTTACATCTAAATGAGCTTCAAGTTTATTTGTCGCAGGGCCTTGAAAAGGAGAATCCAGACGGCACCTTTGATCTTTTGGAATGGTGGAAGGCCAGAGAAAAATATTTTTCGGTTCTTGCAAGGATGGCTCGGGATATTTTATGTATTCAAGCTTCAACAATGGCATCAGAGAGCGCCTTCAGCCAAGTAAGACTTCAAATAGGTGATCATAGAGCGTCTATGAGGGAGAGCTTGGAACATCTTCCTTAGTTTTTTTCCTTTTAATGGTGGTATTAGCACCTTGTTGTGCTCATTCCATTGGGGGGAGGAAGACTAAGAAAGATATTGCCATTTTTGTTAATGTCGTAAGAATAAAAATTATAAGACATTCCCTTGAATATCTCTTTGCAATTTTTTT